TTCCTGTGACCATCAGAGAATTTCTTCCACCTCTCTACTGGAGTTTTGGACCTCTCTTCTTCTGCCAGCTGACCCAGGTCTCTCAGATTTGAAGGGTTCCTTCTCCCAGCTGCTGTTCTGAGATCTCTCCGCAGGAGCTCTATGGGATTTAGACCTGGACTCATTGCTGGCCACTTCAGAACTCTCCAGCTCATTGTCTGAAACCATTTCTGGTGCTGTGTGTAATCTGCTTTGGGTCATTGTCCTGCAGCAAAGCAGCCCCAAAACATCAGTGAACCTCCACCGTGTTTGACTGTAGGGACCGTGTTCTTTTCTTTGAAGGCCTCATTTCATTTTCTGAGAACAGTAGAATGATGTGCTTGACCCAAAAGCTCTGTTTTAGTCTCATCTGTCCACAGGACATTCTCCCAGAAGGACAGTGGCTTCCACAGCTCAGTGTCAGCAAACTCCACTCTGGCTTTTTATGTCTCTGTGTCAGCAGTGGGTCTCCGCGGGTCTCCTATTGTAGTGTCCCTTGTCATTCAGATGGCGATGGATAGTGCAAGCTGACACTGTTGCATCCTGTGCTTGCAGGTCAGCTTGGATTTGTCTGGAAGTTGATCAAGGTTGTATATCCACCATTGGAAAAATCTTTCATTGCAATCTGTCATCCATTTTCCTCTTTCATCCACGTCCAGGGAGATCAGCTATGGCGCCATGGGCTGTACACATCTTGACAATGTTGTGCACAGTGGACACAGGAACAGCCAGATCTCTGGAGATGGACTTGGAGCCTTGAGACTGTCCAGGCTTTTCCACTATTGCAGTTGTTAAATCCTCAGACAATTCTTTGCTCTTCGTTCTTTTCTCCATGCTCAGTGTGGTCGACACTACACAAAGATTGAGTCAAATTTTCTCCATTTTAAATGGTTGCCAGTGTGATTTCTAGGTTCCCAGCACCTGTTGGTTGCTACAGGTGAGTTTTATTACAAATTAAAGGAGCATCTCTTGCTTGGAATACAACTGTTTCTGATGATTTTGAAAAGGTTTCGATAATTCAGTCCAGTCCATTTTTAGAGTTCTGTGTGGAATGCATCAGATTTGGGGGATTTTGTCATTCCGATGCAAACAAAAGATATAAACTCGAGAATACCAAAGAATGGGAAAAGTGGTGTGTTATCTGACAGAAATGCAGTTGCCAGTATTTTTGGCCATGACTGTTCACCTGACTTACATCGGTTTTCTAAGTATGCATCTGCTTTATACAGAAGCTTCTGATCAAGCCAAACTAGAAGGAACAAATAGTTTCTGAGCAGTTTTTGAGGGAACTCCAGGATTTTCTTGTCACGCAAATTGCATTATTTTTGTGTGCATGTGATGACTCACATTTTATTTAAATCTCTGTCTGTGTGGCGGTTTAGGACCCCAGCAGCGTTCACACCAAAGCCAGATACATGTCACTTCAATGTGAACCATGACAAGAAAAAGACCGGATCTGACAAAAAACTGGAATTGAGCATCAATCCTGTTATGTGATTGCAGTGTAAGAGTCTTCATCATAAAAAAGAATGACTTATTTCATAAATGATAACCATGGGTTTTTACCTCTCTTGGTGTTGTCTGGAAAGACTCATTGCAGCCTTGACCGAAGCCACTGGGGAAGTGTCAATGTGAACCTTTTCTTAGCTGGTTAGGTGACCACAGCTCATGAGTCAGCCATTTGAAAAAAGAAAACATGATGGCTATTCTGGAAATGTTTTACAGATTCCTCTTACTCTATTCATCCAAACAATTCCAAAGGCCAGAACGTGGCAGCACATTTCCTAAACAGTGCATCATTTTACATGCACAGTATCAGTCATTCCTAGCTGAAACTGTGTGAGAGGCGGACAACAGAGGAGAGTCTACTGTTTAATATTTCATAATATTCCACAGACCCATGCTGGACTGTTTTGATCTACGTCCTTTAACATCTTACTTTGGTGATCAGTATGTGAAAGTGAAATATAGATCTAGTTCTGATCTAAAATAATTTCCTCCTTAAAATCTTATACATGTTTAAAACATAATTCGATCTTATATACAGTCTGCAAAATTAACACTGCTGTTTAATACTTTAATGGAACCTCAGTGAAACCAAAGGTAGTTCAATGGGTCACTAAGAGATACGAAACCCTTTAGTAACTAGTGTCGACCACCTATAAACTGTCCATAAATATCTTCTCATAACATGTGTAGTATATGACTTAAAGCACATTATCCTAATAGAATAAATCTTTTACACAGATATATTTTGGTTATTTTATTATGAACAAAAGTAATTTACACACCTTCAGAAAAAAACTGTGTTACCTTTTCTCCACAAGGTGGCACCAGTCAGTTTTATTGAAAACAAAAAAGCATGTTCCTGATCAGTAATGATAGTCAGTGTACTTTTTCTTCTTTCGGCTGTTCCCATTAGGGGTCGCCACAGCAAATCATCTGTTTCCACCTAACTCTATCCTCGGCATCCTCTACTCTCACCCCAATTAACTTCATGTCATCTTTTAGCACCTCCATATATCTCCTCTTTGGCCTTCCTCTTGACCTCTTGCCTGGCAGCTCCATCTCCAACATCCTTCTACCAGTATAACCACTATCCCTCCTCTGCACATGTCCAAACCATCTCATTCTGGCCTCTCTGACCTTGTCCCCAAAACAACTGACCTGAGCTGTCCCTCTGATGTGCTCATTCCTAATCCTGTCCATCCTGGTCACTCCTAAAGAGAACCTCAACATCCTCATCTCTGCTACCTCCATCTCTGCCTCTTGTCTTTTCCTCACTGCTACAGTCTCTAACCCATACAGCATAGCTGGTCTCACTACTGTCTTGTACACCTTTCCTTGGATTCTTGCTGACACTATTCTGTCACACAACACTCCTGACACCTTTCTCCACCCACTCCAACCACTCGATTCTCAGAGCAAAAATTGCATCAGTAGCTTCTGGGCATGAAGCCATACTGCTGCTCACAAATATCCACTTCCTTTCTTAGTCTAGCTTCCACTACTCCTTCCCATAGCTTCATTGTGTGGCTCATCAACTTTATACCTCTGTAGTTGCTACAACTCTGCACATCACCCTTGTTCTTAAAGATGAGCACTAGTACACTTCTCCTCTATTCCTCAGGCATCTTCTCACTCTCTAAAATCCTGTTGAACAAACTAGATAGAAACTCCACTGCTGTTTCTCCTAGACACTTCCACACCTCTACAGGTATGTCATCTGGACCAACAGCCTTTCCACTCTTCATTCTCCTCAGAGCCTTCCTCACCTCATCCTTTCTAATCTTTGCTACTTCCTGCTCTACAATATCACCTCTTCCCCCTTCTTTCCCTCTCATTTTCCTCATTCATCAAAATACTCCTTCCATCTTCTCTGCACACTCTCCTCACTTGTTAGCACCTTTCCATCTCTGTCTTTAATCACTCTTATCTGTTGCACATCCCTCCCATCTCTATCTCTCTGTCTCGCTAATCTGTACAAGTCCTTCTCACCTTCCCTCGTGTCTAACCTGGCATACAACTCATCGCATGCTTTCTGTTTGGCCATTGCCACCTCTCTCTTCACTCTACACTGCAATTTCTTGTAATCCTGTCTAATGATAGTCAGTGTACTAATGGAGGCAAACAGGGTGAGCACCTGGCGCCGATGCTGGGTCCCATGCTATTTTGAACTGTGCTGTGACTGATGAAGTACAGGTGTGTGTTTGGAAGAACAGATTCAAAACCCATATATCTGAAATATTATAACACTTTAAAATGATTTTTCTGTTGATTTGCCTCTATACACGTGGTATTAAAACATGACAGAGATCATGCAGGTGATAAACACTGTATTTTCTCATTTAAATAAGAGATACTTGATGTTGTTAGAATTCAAATCCTTGTTTTAAAATATGACCATGTGTATCACTCATGCCCATATTTAGTCATTGTTCACAAAACTGATTCACCCTTTTGTGACTACCTGTCCTGCTTCATGTTTTACCTGAATGTTAGGTGGAATAACTTTGTGCTCGTGTCTGTTGAAAGCAGCTAACAAACTAATGAACCTTTGTTTCTTTTCTGCTCTGTCTTTGCTCATATAGCAACTGAAACGCAGAGCTAAACAGAAAGTAGCTCTGTTTCTCAGATAATTCCTCTCTTCCCCTCTGCTCCAGTCAGAAAGAGACTCCACTTCAACAGCAGAGTGTACAAAGAATTGGAATGTTGTTCTCAGTTGATCTTTTCACTGGACTCAAAGGCTGGTCCCCACCAAGCGCGTCAATGAATATTGGTTAAGGGTTAGGGTAAGGCCAGGTTTATAGGACATGAGCTTTATATCATGGCAGTGAGAAGATGTTGCCTGGTCCTCAACCCCCCAAAGAGCTATTTGAGGATTCAGACTTGGTTTAAGGGTTCAGGTTAGGTTTAGGGCTGGGGATAGATGTTTAGTTGTGATGGTCAGGGTTGGGCAAGGGGCAAGGGGATGCATTGTCTCAGTGCAGGTGTCCTCATAATACTAATGTGATAGAAACCAAGAACATTTATTGAAAGTATTTCATTTAATCTGTTTTATATTCACATAAAGTCACCTTCAAGCATGAAAATGACCCAACAAAGGTGCTGACAATTATAATAAAATTATAATTTGCCTACAAGTGTTCATTGACTTGACTTCCAGGGGGAAAAAAAAAATTTAGCTGAGAAATCTAAGCACAGAAGTGTACTTACTGTAACCAGTACCCTGAAATGAAACCAGTGGTCTCTCACATATTCAATGATGTGATGGATGAAGTGCAACCAGACGACGTTTGATTCAAAATTCGGACAGTTAACTTACACATATTACAGCACGAACAGCGTTACAACCAGGGCTGAACTATCATATAGCTTTTATGACGAATGGTGAACTTTCACGTATCATGACTAAATACCATTGTCATGATGATTGGTTCCCAAGAAATTTGGCTAACATTTTCGTTGATCGACGGGGGTTGCGTGGGCGTCAGATTGCGCGCCAATATATAGAGATGGAGATGTAGAGAGAGCACATCCTGAAGCACTGCTGCAGCCAGCCTGCAAATACAACGTGTATCATGGTAGGTGGAGACGGAGCGCTGCTGGAGGCGCAGAGCCTCAGACTTTATGCTGCAAACATGTCTGTAGGCAACATCTGAGAGAGGGATTTCAGTCCTCAGGTCTGATCTGTAAGCCAGGACCTGACAGCATCTCTCAGTATACGAATTAAACTGGGCGGGCTATTTCTAAATTTTTGTTTAGTGTTTTTAGAGGGTTCTCTTGTCTGATTCGGCGGAAATTTTTAGCAACGGTGATTTTTAACGGGAAACCGAGAAAGGATCTTTTTTATTACGTCTTCAGGATTCTCGGTCAGTATTTTTAAGAGCAGATGGATATTATAGCATAATTTTCAGATTGCGCTCTGAATAACCCGATCCAGTTGTAGCAGCAAGTTGCGCGCATGTCCTTGTGTTCCCATGTTGTTTCCCTGTATTCCTTCATGTTTTCTCGTTGTATTTCGCTGCATGTCCTTGTATTACATCACATTCCTTTTTGCTCCTGTATAATTTTGGATGTCCTTCCTTCTCTTGTTTCCTTGCTTGCTTCCTTCCAGTTGTTCGTATGTCTCATCTCACTGTTGCTGCTGTCAGAGCTCGCCGCTCAGGTTGAAGCCGTGCCCGCTCGGAGCCTTACCTACAACGAAATTGACTCCACCAGCGGCAGCTCATTAGTGTGCGACCAGTGCCCACCCGGGACCTACCTGCGCTCACGCTGCACGTCGATGCAAAAGAGCCAGTGTGCGCCGTGTCCGCAGGGCTCCTTCACGGAGCTGTGGAACCACATCACCAAGTGTCTGCGCTGCGGGGTGTGCGGCCAGAACCAGGTAGTGAAGACGGCGTGCACCGCGGATAGGGACTGCCAGTGCGAGTGTATACAGGGATACTACTGGGAGGAGAAGTACGACATGTGTGTCCGACACACCCACTGCCAGTCTGGACAAGGAGTGCTGACCGAAGGTAGGCTGCTGCTAGGCCACCAGAACCTTTACAACTTCTCTAGGGGAGATCAGGATTTAGATCACCAGGGTCAAAGCTTGTGAACCTTTAATAGGTCCTGGACCTGATATATAGACAGTGCTGATGGCTCCTAACCTGGACAAACAGAATGATACCGGCAGCCTTGAGTGATGCCAGAACACGTTCTGATATCTAGTTAATTTACTCACTAATGTCCAGACTCCAATATCCACAATGCCTTGCGAAACTCTGGATGATCTCTGTGCATCAGTACCTTCCACTGAATAGGTTTACAGATGGCGACAATACACTGACAACAAACTGTAACAACACATTCTGCACATTTCTTCATTGTCTCTTATTCACTATTTAATTTGTTCATTCATTTTAATTCATAGCAGCCTGTAATCTTATGTTACAAAATCCATTACAAAGATCGATTTTGAAATGTGATGAAGACACTGAAGATTTACACAGGAACTGGTGTAGTTGTTTCACAGTGTCAGGCAGGTGTGAACCTCCAGCGGTGTGGAATGAGTTGGTGTTGCTTGTGGTTCCATAACTTTCACTAACAAACTAATTTATGCTAGTGACACTTGTTTTTGAAGAACCACAAAGATGTGCTGGGGATCACTGGGAAAACCTAGATGTGAGATTTAGACTATGGGTGACTGCCCCAAAGAGGCAAACCCTGGTAACTACATGTTGTTAACTAGTTCCTTGATTGCATTCACCTCTGGACAACATTTTAAATGAGACAGATTCAACTTTGGGTCATTTTTACCAGTTTCAGAGGAACTTGATGCATTGCAGGACAGAAATATACCTGATCAGAATAATGATACACTCAACTCAAGGTCCACATACTACGTGTTTGTTCTGAAGGTTAGGTATTAAGTTTAGGAGCACGGTTAGGGTTGTGGTTAAGGAGTCAATCAAAGTGAGGAGTGGTCTTTGTTTCCAAACAGGACAGTACTGAAACACACGGTTCTCGTCCTTTAAATCAAACTCACATCTCTTCCAGGTACGCCATATAAGAACACAGTGTGCCAGGTTTGTTCTGATGGAACCTTCTCCAACGCCGCCACTGGTAATCAGAACTGCACGGCACACACGAGCTGTGATGCTGCAGGGCTCAAGCTACTGCTGAAGGGCTCCACGTGGCACAACAGTGTGTGTGCAAGCTGCGAACATCTCAGATCAAGAGGTAAGAGTCCAATTTACAAGTTCATCCAAGAGGGGATGTTCTGTTTTACCCTAGAAGATAGTTTACATTACAGACATTGTCCGAGGCAGTGAATTAGTTTTTAAATTACTTTCCCACTTTATAGCAGGACTCCACAGTTTATAGCAAAAGCCACGATAAATTAATTCTCTTACAAATGACCCTGGCTTTGTTTGTAGCTTGTCATGGTTAATGCCAGTCTGTGTTAGAACACTTGCTGTTAAGCAGAACTTAAAAGACTCTGTTTTGAAGTCAGCTACTGATTTAGAACATTTCCAAAGAAACCACTTGGCTGCACTGCTCAGTGCTGCCTGCAGCATGAGGTCAGAGCTGAGTAGTGACCACCTCACCAGAGTTGTTTGAAACACATCCAGAAACTCACATCCAGTTGTTTATAAGAAGTATAAGACCTGAGATGTCATGTAAGAAGTGGAGTTTCTGGAGAGTAACAGTGAGTTTTTCCTGCACAAAAATGAAAATCAGCTTGCAGTGAATTGAAACATGCTGCAGATTGATACTCATTTATTTTATGGTGAAATTGTCCTTTAATGACTGATTTGAAAGACTTGAATGCCAGTTCAGGTGATCAGAAACCACAAGTTCTGCTGCAGAATCATAAATATAAATGACTTCATACCTGGCTGGTCTAATAAACATGCAGAGATGTGGCCATCATAACGCAGCTGGCAGAGCTACATGTGGCACAAAGATGTAAATTCACTTTCACTTCTCAGCCAAGGTCCCCTGACTGGAAATTACCCTGAAATTTCACATGGCATTCTCCTCTAAGTACTGGCTTTTTATTTTCACTTTCAAGTTAGCCAAGCCAAGAATAGCTCTGCTTCATGCCAGCTCAGACTGTCTTATCTGAAGGGGTTGAAGGTTACTACCTTTATGTGCTTCTTCATCAGCTGCCGATTGATTGCCTTTTTTGCTTCCTGCAGACGGAGCCGACTACCTCAAAGAAATCATCCCAGCTTTCTTCCAACACCAGAGATTTAATATTAGAATGCTGCGTCGGATCGTGCGCAAGCTCCCGTCTACGGATGGCAAAAGACATGAAGGGATTTCAGGGCTCAGTCTCTCAGCTCTTCATGTAAATATCAACACTTGGGTTGCCTCTGCCACAGCAAAACAGATTAGGCAGGTTCCACATGTACTGACAAATCTAGGAGCAGACATAGGTGGTAATAGGCTACACAGCAAGTTGCAAAGAATCGACTCGAACCTGAACACGCTGTGTGGGATGGGGAACGAGGTCGATATGGGAGAGTTACACTAGGCCATAATAGAAATCCACAGCATTTGACTGGTCCTGAGCTGTTTTCCAAAAGATTTATTTTTCTCAACATTCGCAACTTGCTGTCTATTCAAGACGTGCTGTCAGTACGAGCTTTAGCACTTTGTGATTAGTTCAAGGAGAATACCAGTCATACCTGCTGTCCTGTGTAACCAGGTCTTTTAAAAAGTCATAAATGTTATATTAAAGTATGCAAGGCAACATGTTTTAGAGGACAATTCAATTCAGGACTGGTGATTGACAGGTATTATTGTGAAACAACAAACAAATCTGTTCACTCAAATAGTATGTGCACCTTTTGGCATCGTTGAACCTTTTAAGGTGCAGATTTGCTGCCAAGATATTAATGTGTCTTGTATCTGAGTCTGTACAACAACAACAACTAAGATATTCCACAACACGTTTTGCAGAGTGGAAACACAGAGAGAACTTACACCACAGACACTTAAGTTTAATTTTTATAAACTACTCATATTTCCCTTTAAAACATGCTGGCCCGCAGTATATCTACCTCTTCTTATGTCTGCCGTTAAACACTGGTGTGGCACCAGATCATGTTAATTACAGAGGTTTCAGTTTGTGAAGCAGATTTTTTTCTGCTTAATTTATTTTGCTACTGACATAACGAGGATGAACCAGGTTATTTGTGTCCACGAACACACTGGATGCAACATCTGTTATCCTCTCGGTGTGTGTCTCAGTGTCTTTGCTGTAGTTCCTCTTTAATGTTTTAAATGCACTGTGTGAAGAAATGGCTTTTTGTACATTGTCAGATATAATAAAAATAAAAATAAACTGCTCTCCATTCACCTCAGCCCATAAAAGATGAGATGGATATTTACTGTGGTTAACCTTTTGGATTGTCAAGGAGACAGTTTCAGAAATTAGGAATACTGCTTGTTACATTATTTTGAATCTGTAAATATGCTGTGAATATTGCTGATGGAGTTTATATAAGTCAAAGTGAAAGCTTAGCTGAAAATAAAAAGCAAACTGACATGTTTTTTTGGGGGAATGCCTCTGAGTCACTGATATAGAGTGAAGTATCATCAGGCTGTTTATGTTATGCAGTATGTGATTAAAATAAGTAAAGGGTGGAGGATCCCTCTGAGGTTGAATTCCGACAAGAAGGATAGATGACATGTGGAAGAAATAACTGGCACATGTCATTTGTGGTTTAGACTGTGTGTTTTGTCAGCTTCCTTCCTGAAAACAGCTACATTAAACAAGTCTTGTAGTAACTTCCAGCCAAAATGCTACTTCTTCTTGTGCCTGACATGTAAAGAGCTGCAGTTGGCAACTTCTTTACAGAGCTACTATTAAAGGTCTAAGGTGGCTTAAAACCACATGTTGCAGAAGAAACTAACAACCAACACAGGGATGGTTTGAAAGAATGTGCAGCGTGAGCATGTTCATGATAATGTCAGGCGTTGGTGAGAAGGTGACTCAGCCAGGAAGCCAGTTTGACCAACAGACTCATACAGATTTATGTTAATCACTCCATTTCTCCATCTACACAGCTGCCACACAGAGGGCTGTGTATTTGCACAAGCTCAGACTCAAGGTCACTGTCCACGCAGTTTTCTCAAGCAGAGGGTAGACAAAATAATGTGTTACAGTAAGTTATCAACTCAGGACTGAATATTCAGCGTTATCTGACAAACTGAGACATGGAAACATCCCCATTCAAAGTAAACGGGGTTGGATGGATTACTTTTAAAAGCCCTGTTTCCCTTACACTGGAATGTACACTGTTAAGCAAAACAAACACAATACTGCATACTGGAAGTCCATCTGCTGTTGTTGCTGTAATGTTGGCTGCCGTGTTTTCTTATTTACATATGATATTTGGTGTCCTCTGATACCCTAAATGGCATTTTAAAAGACGACCCACTCCAAGTTCTTTAGAAATAACAGTGAACTAAGAACTGTGTGGGCCAAAACCTTTTTGCTCTCATTGCATTTGTACTGTCCTTTGAATGTGCCTTGACACATCAACGTCTAAGTTCCTCATATGTTGTCACTCCAGAAGCTAAAGGTCATTTAACTGTTTTGCTACACATGGCTATAGTTTATCCATTCAATTAATGGCTAAACTATAGCCATGTGTAGCTAATTCATAGGAACTACCCACTACAATTGTAAGGCTTTATAGGCTATATATACAGGTACAGGTATATACAGTATGTAAGCATAAAAATTATAGTCATAGTATTTTCAACCTTTCTTCTCCAACACAAGTGCAAATGCAGAATCTATCAACAAGTGGATCAAGTACACTCAAACAAATCTTCTCCTCATTACCTAAAACTTAGCCTAAACTAAACTTAACCTAAAACTAAACTCATTCTATATTTATATTTAAGGAAAACAAAGGACATCTTTCACATGAACAGTGGAGTTCAGTATGTTTAACCCTATAAAACCATTTGTATAATATTTGATACGTGAGGTTTCTGAGCAAAAAAAAAATCGCCAAAAATGCCCCATGTGTCAAATGTGATACAAAAGAAATAAAAAATAATCTAAATAATATGGCACCTCTATTCCTATGCCTGGACTGTCTGTCTATGTATATATGGCAAATAAAAATCATAAATCTTTAATTTTGAATCATGAATTATATTTTGGATTTTGTTAAAAGGTTTAATAAATATCTCATTTCCAAAAAGTTAAAATGTTCTGGCTAGTTCTTGATGTGTCAGGCTTTACAGAGTTAAATGCACTTACACCGTCACACAAGTCTTTCCTACAGTTGTTTTAAACATGGAGTCCAAAGGGAGGCTATTGTTGGCCCAGAGGCCAGGAATTACAGGGTCCTTCTGAATATTAATGATAAAAAGGGGGTTATACTGTAGTTAATCAGATGTACTGATTGGTCAGTTTGTTGCCGATGGCGATATTTGACTGTTCTCACCAGCTGGGGCAAAGTGGATCTGTTGTTGCACAGTAAACCTTGGCCTGCAGACAGATCAGATCAAGGAACTTTGAGGCGATCAGAAAAATAAGTAACAGCATTTTATTAAAGAGTATTTCCTCAAACTCTAGCCTTATACAACAGAATGATGCCTGTGGCTTACTGTAATGCTAAGCCAGTAGCCAACATTTTGGTAAATGGACTGTATTTTATATAGCGCTTTCTCACAGTGTGTTGCACTGGCCAAAGCGCTTTACAGAAGATCATACACCATTCACACACCAGTGACGACACAGGCTGGCGCTAGTCAAGCCCCGGGAGCAATTCAGGGTTCAGTGTCTTGCTCAGGGACACTTAAGCATGCAGGGAGACCAGGAGTCAAACCACCAACTTGCTGGTCAGGAGACGACTGCCCTACCTCATGAGCCACAGCCACCCTACATTTTCTTTCAGCTTAGAAAGAGAAGGCCTCCCCACGCCTCAAATGCAGATTTAATATAGTGCAGTTTATTTCTTTATGATCCAAGTACTAATAGAGCTGAAAACAGAGGGTTAATTAATTTACTTTTCATTGGTGACCCCATGACCCAGACTTTGAAAAGTAATGATGTGACCTAATAATGACAGATTGTATTTTTCTTTAAGCATTTTGTGGTTAACCCAGGAATGTGTGGGATGACACACAGTGAAATGGCAGTCAAAACATCTTAACAATTTGAAAATTTGGATGTGCACATTTTTGAGTATGCATGTCAGAAACTCCTAACAGAATCAACAAACACAACACAGATAGTAGCAACTACTGTATTCCAAATGATTTATTTCAAATTACAGTCAGGCCTATGTGGGATATAAGACCAAAAGTCATATGTAAAATCAGTAAATAAAAATATACAGTATACCTGGATGACCTTTCCCTTTCTTTTTTAAAGTGTGTTAGGAACTCCATTATTCAACTTGCAGTGGCAGATTTTTGACTGAAAAGTGGAAGGCATGCATCTGTCCAAAATCCCCTGCTCCCACTCCGCTCTGCTCACATGCTGGAGAGGGAATTCAACTTCCCAGCCATCACAGTTGTTGCGGGATATGGCTCAGATGGTGTGTTGGTAGCAAACCTCAGCACACTTTCTTCCTGCTCAAACAATGCTAGTGGTAATAAATGTGCCTTTGAACTGCAAACCAGGAAGTTAATTCCAAGAAGCTAACTGCTGGCAAAGCCCCAGACTTCAGGAAAACCTCCAAGTGAAACCTTCACAACTAGAATAGGTGCTGACTCACCTGAGTGATGCCAAGCATCTTTCTTGGACAAAAGGCCTAATCTAAAATTAGTAACTTGGGTTGGCAGTGTGTCAAAACTGAGGTAATGCACTCTTCTCAACAAAGAATAATTGCATTAAAATAGAATACAACTGGCCTAAACTGATTTACAAGTTAAGATTGTACTTTGTACTGGCAGAGAAGTGACAATGAGCCAATTAAAAGAAAAAAAAAATCAACCTGATAATGTTGCAATAGAGTGTTACTTTCTGGACACTGCTCTCTTATACCGACAGGTATTTCAAAATTCATCAAAAGAAACTAAGATCTAACAAACTAAGGAGTTATGACAGTGCACGGCCTGATTTTTGGAATTTTCCATTTTAATATACACCAATCGACCACTGAGAGGTCAAGTGAATAACATTGATTGTCTCCTTACCGCAGCACCTGTCAGTGTGTGGGGTATATTAGGGGGCAAGTGAACATTCAGTCCTCAAAGATGATGTGTTCCCAGTCTGCCGTGGTCTCAGGAAGGACAGTGAACCGGCGACAGGGTCATGGACGCCCAGGACTCACTGATGATGAGGTTGACCTACTGTATATTAAAATTTTAAATTCCATCTGCACTATTGAAATTAATTTTAGGTTGAACCTTTGTTAAAATTGCTGAAATTGAGAACTAGTGTAACTGTACACTGGCCTCTATGAAGTGGTAAGGCTGTTGAATTTGTCAAAAAAATTAACTCTAACTTGTTTTTACACTAGTTTTTCACTGAATGGTCAACACAATTGTTCTCTTCCTGACAGAAGAACTACAAAAGCAAAGAGATCTTCACCACAGAGAGGATCACTGGTTGCTCTCTTGACTCCACTACATCACTATACTCACTATACTATACACTAACCACTTCCAATCCAAACATGAGCCATCGTCAAAGACCCGATCATCCCCGTCATACTCTGTTCAGGTGGAGAGGCACAGGATACAGACCAGAGAGTACGAGCGCACACAGGATTCACAAAGTATTTTTATCCAACAACAATCAGACTGGTGGCCGAGGACATGAAATTTCAGACATTTGAGGCGGACAACAGTCAGGAGATCTATGATTACAGCTAGATGACGGGCTCTGTGAAATAATGTGCAGATGTAAGAAGGAAATTAAATTACCTAAAGCTGAGTAACCACACTGGCAGGCAGGGTTTTCTCTCCAAATTTTTATGGGTTTCAGGTGTTTTTATAGCATGATCACTTACAGTAAAACCTCCTAGAAATGCTGACTTAATTTTGGCTTGTTGTGTGATATGGTGAAACAAAATTATAGCATCAGAAATTCCCAACACACAGCCTTTTATACAGTCATGCATGAGACATTTTTAAATCATATCCTCAAGAGGATTTATGAAAAAACACTCACGTAGACTGATTATAAGTAACTGGGGTCAAAACAGAGCCAATACTAAAATCCTGCATTAGGGCTGCAGGCTGTCCAAGCATGTTTCCCAAAGCATGCTGGGCTTATCAAAGGAACAAGAAACAGGTTTGTAAAAGATATAGTTAAAAGCATGTTTTGTTTCTGTGTCTGTTGAACAGGAACTGTTTTGTCCTTTGTCTGTGTTTCACCTTATGTCCAACACTGGTTGACTGGAAATGTTGCAAGATTTCAAGCAGTTTAGTTTTTACAGAGGTATTTCCCTCAGGCACACTGGGGATTTTAACACAGGCAGTAATCGCATCAGTGCAAGGAAATGCAAATTGAGGTTATATTTTTCAGTAGGACTTTTAAAACCAACTTTTATGTATGGTAGGGAGGTTGACAAAGCCGGAAAGGTTTCCCAGTAGCACCCTGTATTACACTCACACATCCACCCAGTGAAACTGCTGATTAATAATGAAAACGCCATTTTAGTAACACCGATAACGCCACACCTTTCTCAAGTCAACCTTCATTATCCCTGCCTGAATGTTTCTAAACCATCAGCAGCCATTTCATAAGCTGCTGACCACTGACACCTAGTTTATACCTGCTGTTCTCACCTGTTTGCCAGGTGGTGAACGCCAAA